CTTCTACGGTGCAGTCTACGACTGGCAGCTATTATGCTAGCAGCCCCATGAGTGCAGACTGGAACGGTGATGCAGACAGCCAGCACAGGGCACTGTTGAAAGCTCTTGGGGAGGTCGAGGTTGATGAAGACGACGATGTGAGCGCAGCGACTTTTAGATTGCCCAGCCCTTCAGCAGCAGCTTCTACGGTGCAGTCTGCGACTGGCAGCTATTATGCTAGCAGTCCCATGAGTGCAGATTTCAACGGTGATGCAGACAGCCAGCACAGGGCACTGCTGAAGGCTCTTGGGGAGGTCGAGGTTGATTAAGAGGACTTTGCGATTGATACGACATCTTTTTGCCCGGTTGACTACTTGTACGCTTGATCTCAGATGCGAGTGGTTTGATGGCTCTTGAGTCTGAGGAGGTCACCGCTGACGGAATGCCGATGCGAGGTATTCCGCTTTTCAGCAGCTTGCCCATGCGGCAGTAATCTCCACAGCACTGCTTTTTGCTAACGGCCCTACCTGACCGATGCAGGCTGGAAAAGTGATGTAGACCGCGACAAGTTCCTTGATGAAGTCGAAGCTTTGCGGCTTCTTTTTCTTATTCTGCCCCCCGTTTGGCTTCCCAGCCCTTGCCGCAGCATTGCGATCATGTCATGGGAGACCAAAGAGGCCAATCACCACCAGGTCCGGAAAGCTCTAGAATCCAAGGATGCGTGAAGCTCTTTGATGATGTTGTGGTCATTGCGCCTTAGTTTATCTCGTCAAGCTCGTCGATAAATGCCAGCACAGCCAGCAGGGACTGGACGCGATCCCTGAGCACCTTGCAGACAATGTCCTCTCTTCGGCGTGCGCCGGCAAAGGCGAGTGAGACTCCGCATTTTGAGCAAAGCGCAGGCTGCAGCGGCAGGCGACAGTCTTTGCGAAAGGGCGACCTCGAAGCTGTTCATAATAGCTCCAGTGTTATACTGCCGGACCGAAAGTGGGCTGAATCGTCAGACAGACAGCGGAGTACAAGAATAAACCCTAAACCCGAAGCCCTAAATCCTAAACCCTAAACCGGAGTACAGGAAGAGCCATGCGAGCCGGTCCAATCGACCCGACCATCCTCCGAGAACTTCTTGCTGTCCGTCCCGGAAATGTAAAACTATATAATACTAGGGGCCTAAATAATGACCAACATTACTGTGGGGGCTCCTTATTTATTATGGATACAGTATAATGGACCCCAAAAGCCTAATTATTAAGGCCGCTACATTATTGCGATCCGCATAGGTAGTTTCGACAGGCTTTGCTTCATGGATAGCGCTTAGCAAGTAAAGACCGGTGCCTCGTGAAGATTGCCCAAAGCCCCACAGGCTAACTTTGGACTCAGGAACTGGAGTCCTTCATCAAAATCTCTTCAAAGATCTATCGGCAGATAGACTGCAACCAACACCCCTAAACTCAAACGCTACCAGCGTTTCGAGCTTTGGGTCCTGAAGCTCATGGTTTCTTCCGCTGTGGTAGTATGGCGGGCCCCGGCAACATGCGCAACACCGCCATCTCTCCGCCTTAAGCAACGGATGCGGAAGATGGCATTCTGTGCCCATCTTCCTCACCCCCGCAATTGGCGCAGTATGAGGAGTTCGCCACCGGGGGGGGTCCAAAGCACCCAGCACGGGCGTCTTGTGCCCTGATGATCATTCTCCTCAAGCCATGGAGCCTTGACAATGAGTGGCGAAACACCCATGCCCCAGAAAGAGCCCAAACCCCCAATAAAAAACCCCATAGGGCCGTGTACCCAGAACCCTACGTAACACACACCCAAAAGAGCCTTGCCTCAACCCGCAAATTAGGTAAACTAATGGCCCAAGACCCACAAAGGGCCGGCTGTTATTCTGCATGTTTGGGGTCCAGGTCGAGCCTGAGCGTCCCCACCAACAAAGTAAAGAAGCCTGGGGCTCTTGAGCGATGGAGAATCGCCAGCCGCTGCAGATCGCCCAGGGCGACAGTGAATCCAGGCAGTTCTCGCTTGGAGCCTATGCTGTTTATAGGGGTTTATAGGGCATAGGGTTTTCTCATGTTCATGGGGTTGATATTATTGTTTGCCGGGCTTATATAGGGTTATATGGTTTACAAAGTTCCTTCAAGCTCCTTCAAACCCTGACCATACACCTTTAACAATGAGCCCTAAACCCAAAGCTTTCTATCGTGTTGTGACGTCTTTCAATACCTGCGGGCGCCAGGAGGAACGTCTTCCTCGGCCATGAGTTCGTCGACGAGGTGTCGTACCACTCGAGAGTGTGTGGGGTCAGAGGCTTATAAAGGCTGTTACTGGTTTCTCCTTGACCTTGGATCGCAAGTGTTGTGCGAGCAGTTGCACGACTGGGTTCTGGAGTGCGATTCACCACTCGTTCGGGTTCCTGAGCATATCAGACTCTAGCATACCCCGAAACCCGATTCTGTACGTACGCACGTATGTATGCATGACTATGCATGCATGCAGTGTATGTATGTATGTATGTATGTATGTATGTACGTATGTATGTATGTATGTATGTATGTATGTATGTAGGTGTATGCATACATGTATGTGTGTATGCATGGATGTATGCATGTATGCATGCATGTATGTATGTAGGTATGTACCTATGTATGTATGTACGTATGTATGTATCTATGTATGTATGTATGTATGTATGTATCTATGTATGTATGTATGTATGTATGTATGTATGTATGTATGTACGTACGTTCTTATGTATGTAGTGATTGCTGGCTGGATGGATGGATGGATGGGTGGATGGATGGATGTTTTTCTTTACATGTATATATATATATATACACACATATATATATATATATATATATAAGGCTTTATGCATGTATATGCTTCCCGTGCACATGCCATGCTGCCCTTTCACAGGACACCACGCAGCACGTGCGCAGCGTGATCCTTGCATCTGGGATCATGGCGGGCATGCAGGCGCGAAGTTTGACGGGCCTCCCAAGGCGGAAGGCCACCGATTGGAGAAAAACAGAATATTCGTCAAAACCCAAGTCGAAGAGTCGAGCCAGATGTGTTGTAAAATGCGACATGTCGGGTCCGATTCCAGTATTTTCTCTCTCTGGTGCGATGATGTTGCGCAGCGGAACCCTAAACCCTATACCCTAAGCCCTAAACCCCTAAACCCTAAAACCCTAAGCCGCCAGCCCAGAGGTGCTGACACTGCTGCTGTCCTTCGCGTCGGGCCGGCACCTGATGGGGGCGCCAGGGGCCCGGTGGCGATGGTTAGGGTTTAGGGTTTAGGGTTTTGGTTTAGGGTTTAGGGTTTAGGGTTTAGGGTTTAGGGGTTTAGGGTTTAGGGTTTAGGGTTTAGGGCCCTCTCAGGACAGAGTTCAATGCTGTCAACGCTTTCATCGAGTTTAGGGCAGTGATAGGGTTTGAGGTGTGCTGATCCGTTGAACAGGTTCAGGGCTTGTGGCTGAAGGGGCGCGGTCTAAACCCTAAACCCTAAACCCTAAACCCTAAACCCTAAACCCTAAACCCCAAACCCCACACCCCAAACCCTAACTCATCTTGTCTCATAGAAATGCCACCAGCCCGTCGTCCGGGTTTCGGCTCGGGGCGGCTCGGGTCCAGGGTGCAAGTACGTGTCGGTAGTTTGGGACTACCCATAGGCCCAAAAGTAGTTCCTTTTTGGGGTTCATGTATAGAATCCTATAAGGTAACCCCAAAAAGGAACTACTATGGGGCCTATGAGTAGAAGTACTGTAACCCCAAACACTCAACCTAATACTTAAAAACCCACTTGCTAGCTCCCTTGAGCCTTCAAATAAAGCTCGTGGGTGCCGAGGTTTGTGAACTTCGTGATCGGCATGATTATGCCCGGCTGCGGGTGCGCATGCCGTGGACAGGAAGGGTCCAACTTGCTGGTTCGGTTTCGGCCTTCACATTCTGGATTCTGGGAACAGAATGTTCAGGACTCACCCTAACCCTCCAGGTACCTACTATATAGGGCCTTTGGGGCTCTAGTACCCTCTATAATAGGTACCTGGAGGGTTAGGGTCAGTTTTGGTTTTAGCATGTAAACAATATTTAATCTTTCGGCTGGGTGGCCGGTTCTGGTTCCTCTTTTGGGTTCAGAGCCGCAGAGGCTCAGGCCGCATGCATCTGTCTCTGCAAGCTGCAAGCTGCAGCTCCGACTTCGACCCCCCAACTTCAATATAGGAGCCTAAATACATGCCGATTTGGGGTTGCTTAGGGTTCCTTCTTAGAGTAATGCGCATCCCCAACAGCCAAAACCTTGCCCTAATTCCTCAACTCTACCGCCCTGCTAGATTCCGCAACAGGTATTTCGGGGCCACCAAGCAGAGCTCCCAGCTGATGTGCTGCTTCTCGTGCACCAGTTTAGTCTGGGGCCCAGACTTCGGGTTTCGGGGCTTAGTGTTTAGGGTTTAGGGTTTAGGGTTTAGGGTTTAGGGTTTAGGGTTTAGGGTTTAGGGTACGGGTTTCGGATTTAGGGTTTTGGGGTTTAGGGTTTAGGGTTTTGGGATCTTTTTTAGGATCGGAGGCTTTTCGGGTTTTGGGGTCTTCGGCTTCAGGGAAAAATAGGGCTAACTATCTTGAGGCTCAGGCAAAAGTTAGCGACTAGGTGGAAAGTGTAGGTCTACTTAGGACAACCTGTAAGTAGGGCACGAAAGGCATATATTTTGAATATGACCGGGCTTGCGCAGCACCCCTGTGGAAGGCGTACATCCTTAACCCCTAACCTCAAACCCTAAACCCTAAACCCTAAACCCTGAACCCTGAACCCTGAACCCTAAACCCTAAACCCTAAACCTATGCAGAGGGTCAAGTCTTGCAGCCCGGAACCTGGACCGGACCAGGTCTCCGCCATCTCTCAGATCCTCCTCACGGTGAATGTGCTTCTGGCCATCTGGATCATCGAGTCCAAGGGGGAGGTGGGCGCCTGAATAACTTTGGTACAGATAGTTCCTTATAGTGAATCCCTATATGGCCATCTGGATCATCGAGTCCAAGGGGGAGGTGGGCTGTTGCGATTCAGGTTGAATCTGTGAGAGTGCTTGAATAACACTTGGTAATGCTAGTTCCAATCGTGCAATATCGCCCAAAGCCGGAAGCCCAAGATTCAGGTTCAGGAAATCTAACGTTGAACTCTAAACCAAAGCTCTGACACACGGCATTATGTTGAACTCAGAGTGGAACGTGGCTTATCCGACGCGTGTCAACGTGCGAGATCGTTCACGCAGTCCTTACTTGATAAGCCCCAAACCTTAAACCCTAAACCGTCATACGGTAGTGTCGGTCCCATTTGTTTCGCCGCCTTGTATGGCGGCAGAGTGCAGTCTGGGCCGTTTTGGGGGACCCCACCACATGGCTAGGGCTTCAGGCTGATGTTGCCAATCCCTGCGGTGATACTATAGAGCTTATGGATGTAGCAATGTATACGGTGTAGGCTCAAGTTCCCGCACCCCAAGCCCAGAACCTCTCTTATACAAACCGCAGCTGATTGAACTCGATCCACCGAACTTCACAAAGTGTCTCATCTCCAGCCTGCCCCATTCGCCAAGTTTGCAGCGAGGTGTTCTGCGATGCGCTGTGCGGCGTCATGGGCTGCAACAACCACTCCAGCCTCTGCAGCTGCGAAATAGGCAGCCGCCTCCTGCGTTGGATGCGGTCTATGATCCTCTGGGGCTGAGTGCCGCCAATGGAGTCCAGGGTTAAGTTTGGGTTTTAGGATTTATAGGCCTCTAGGGCCATTTAAAGGAGTCCTACATCGAGTGCTGCACTCTGAATCAGAATCATACTCGCAAAAGAACCTCGATGCCGAAGAGAGCAGGGTGTCATGGAACTTGCCCATAGCCCCATAGTAGTTCCTTTTTGTGGTTTGTATTTAGGATCCTTTCAGGTAATCCCAAAAAGGAACTACCTGTAGTCTCCATTGTAGTTCCTTTTTTTGGTTTAACCAATTATATATGAAGGATTTTATAAGGTATCCCCAAAAAGGAATGGAGACTATAGGTACTATGGGGCCTATGGGTGAACTTACAAACAGGTCCAAGCTCGCAAGAGTCAGAGCTTTGCTGGAGAAGTCGTCTGAAGTCGTCGCCATTTTCCCCACTTCTGCTAGTCCGATATCAGCATAGAGGTTGTTAAGACGGGGTAAGAGCACAATGAGGGCCATATCCGATCTAAACTTGCTTGAACAGAATCGCTCATATGTTCGTTGTTATGTCCGAGCGAAGTTTATCTCAAGTTATGCGACAGAGCGGTGAGTCGGCTGGTAGTTCCTCACACCGCATACGCGCAGTCGAGTCCTCTCACGGGTGCTTAGCGACGGTATTCTTGCTGAAACCGGGGTGCATTCGGAGCGAGCTTTCAGGGAGTTTGTGGCTAGTTGGAAATGAACTGAGAGCCCAGCCTAAACCCTAAACAATTACATGACCCTTAAAGGAACCCTTCAAAAGAACCCTATGTAACCCTAAACCCTAAACCCTTATAGAACCCTTAAATGTTTGGATTCACATTTGCTGGAATCGGTGTTCCGAGAGGTTGAGGAGCTTTGCGCAACTCAGATTCGGGGCTTTTGCGGTATGCCAGGCTGCAGCCGGGGAGATACCTGCTGCCCAGACTACAGCGAGGAGGGGCCCCAATTCGTTAGGGTCCAGCATTGTGCTTCGGGGTTCTTGGGGAGTGTGGGGTTTCGGGGTTTACGGGTTTGGGGGTTTAGGATCAGGGTTTTGGGATGTGGGTGTTATGTAGGCTCGCGGTTTCGGCAAGGGCCGAGGGGTGTTTTGTTGATTCAGGGCTTCTGAGCTTGGGGTTCAGGATTCCAATTCCGGCCTCGGGTCAAGATGCCTCCGAGCTTTACGCTGCCACGCAATCTTCCGGACCAGGAGGCGGGACAAGAGAAACTGCTAGATACCTTTAGGGTTTAGGGGTTGAGGGTCCTATGCAAGCTGAAGAGTCTGACGAGAAAGAATTCTCGAACAATTGGGGCGATTGGATCCATGTGGAGTGCGAGGTCGCTGGTAATGACTCATGAGTTGAAGATACCCTAAACCCCCAAACTCTAAGCCTCTAAACCCTAAACCTCTAAACCATAAAACCTCTAAACCCTAAACCCTGAACCCCTAAACCCGAAAACCCCTAAACCCTAAACCCTAAACCGTGGCCGGCCATCAGAAGGCCAAGAGCCCGAACATAGATATGGGGCACTGCAAGCATCGGATTGACAACGTGGTTTAGGGGTAGGGTTTAGGGTTTTGGGGGGTTGCGATTTTTCCCCAGGCAGCTTGTAAATGTCCTTACGAGATCACTGTTGCAACCGGTGAGGAACTGTTGCCAGATTCGGAGACCTCAAAAGGTGGGACGAAGGTAGGTAGGATGAGGGATATCTAGAATGAGGACTCTTATCTGAGATTACCCCAAACCTTAAACCCTAAACCCTAATCCCTAAACCCTAAACCTCCCTGAACCCTAACCCCCCCTCCCCCGGAGCCCTTCGCCAGATGTGCGTGCATGGAGTGCAGCAGAGACGATCGGAGAGCATCGGGCCCAGCCTGGCCTTGGTTTGAGTCTTTTTAGGGCTTCAGGGGTTTGGAGTGTAGGATTTGGGGTTAGGGTTTAGAGTTCAGCGTTTAGTGTTGTTCGGGGTTCAAGGCTCTGGGTCTAGGGTTGTTCAGGGTTTTGCGTTTTTGTTTTTCGATATGTCAGAGGTGTGCAGGTTTTCGGCGTTCTGGAGTTTTTCGGTAGCTGAAGATGCAACTTGCTTGGGGTTCCTGGTCTGTCGTACACCCTAAACCGGTGTGCGTTGGTGGGTTTGGTGGCCGTTTATGGTGGGGCCCAAAACCCAAAACCCAAAACCCTAAACCCAAAACCCAAAACCCTAAACCCAAAACCCTAAACCCAAAACCCTAAACCCTAGAAGCCCCTCAATTTCAGAGTCCTCAAGGCTGCCTCACACCCAAGACCAGAGCTCGGATGTCGATTTTAGCATGCACCGGTTCAGCGCCAAGGACGCTACAGGAGCTCATGTTCAGTCTCGAGGGCTCTATATATATATATATATACATGTTATAAGCGTGTCCGGAGTTCGTTCCTTTGTTCGACCGAAGTAGCTCCGGTAACTGTGATTCCTGATTAGACGAAAGCAGGTTGGAACTCCCATATCGTTCCTTCTGCAGAAGCTGAACACCGAAGATGCAGCTACCCCTGGTTTGTGGACCTGCCTTCTCTTCAACGGGCAACAATAGGCATCTTACCGTACTCGAGGACTTCGTTTCTACTCGAGGGTGACCGAGGGTGTACGCTACAAGCATTCTGGACCCTGAGCGCTACGTCCGAGGCAGGGATGTGCAAACAGCTATCTTACGGGTCTCGCAAGGTCGACAGCAGGCTGCGACCCCTCGCAACAAAAGCTTAAGGTGTTGACGGTTTCCGGTTTACTGTAGGGTTTGGTAGGATCTCTGGCTTGAGGCTGTGAGAAGCTGACTGACTCTTTGGATGAAGCTGGCAGCGTCGTGGGTGCAGTGTGTGGCCCAGCTGGGGGGGCAGGCGTCCGTATACTTCCGTACGGCTTCCAGGCTTGAATTGGGCCCGAGTAAGTTGGCTGCATTGAGGGTTGTTGCTGGCCCTAAATGCCTTACCTAAAAAAACCCTTCGAACAGAACTTAAAAAAGAAGCCTAAATAATTGCCAACATTGCT